CCCCACACACACAGTAGCTTTCATTCTGCCAAAGCGCTGGTCTAGGGTGCTAAGGATCAAGGCAATTTGAGATGGACTCTCTTCTGTGCCCCAACAATCCCCAGTGGGAAGAAAAAGTCCCTCCCGTTGCTTAAATTATACCATGTCTGTGTCCTGGCACAGTTGGGTTTTTGTTATTGTTTGTCTTGGTTTGGTGTTTTTTGTAACCTCTTAAATCCACCTGTGTCCAACTCTATATAGTCTAAGCAAAGGGAAGGTTGTTTACTCATTAGGAAACTTGAAATACTATTAACCAACAACCCCTTAATTTTTCAGCCCCCAGAAACCCCTTAATTACTCAAGTGCTTTTTCTAGGGAGACACATAACATAGATTGTTGGCCTCTATTTAAACACCATGGCCCAGCCATTAGGTAATTTTGAGAACTCAACATTTTGCCTTGGCTTTGAGCACCAAACCTGTGGTCCACCAACAACACGGGTTACATCCTTGAGGAACACATTTTGAACTAACCTTTGTAATGGCCTTATTCATCTTAATTTCCTACCCATCTTTCTCCCAAACTATTTTTTGGACATTTTAGATAAACTACTTTATATCCTCTTTGAATAAGAAATAATGAAGCAAGTAAAACAATCAAGCTATTTTATACCTTAAATTAACTTTTACACAAAGCAAACCAGGACCTGTAGGCTCATTACACACTCAGGGCCAGCACACTCCACAGCTGTACTGCTTGCACAGGTTGTGCACTGCACAATCTGAAGGAGGCTGTTCACAGTCACAGACCTTGGCTATTTGTATACTTACTATGAAAAATTCTGGGAAGAACTAGTAAATTGTCTTGAGTTAATGGTGGCTTTTTCTAACTTGTATAAAAGTACAGTTTAGGGCAGGACATCATATTACCTTAATCACAATTTTCACAGTTTAAGCTTCACCATCTTAATTAAGCTTTTGTAGCGTAGAATCTCTCTTCATTTTGTGGGTTCCTCGCAATGAACCAGCACTAGGTGTCTTCCACAATAGTTACACAACTGGGTACCTTTTGTAGGCTACCCCCATGTACCTCCTTGCACCACTTCCTGCACTTTTATGAAAATGTTAAAATAGAGAGGTCTCTTATTCTTACTTAAGATTCCTCCTGAGAGATGGACCAGGATGTGTACTTAATACATCTGTGAATTATATCCCTAGGGAACTCTCTGGATTCCTGGCCATCATCAGGCCAAATAACATCAGGGGCTCAGATGCCCTAACAAGTGTTGCTAGTTACTGTGTGTGCTGTTCCAGACCCTCCGCCCAGAGCATCCTGACTTTGAATTATGAAGTGAGCAGAAAATCTGAATGACTCTTGATTGAAATGAGCAGAGAATTGGCTCCAGGAATCTGGATGAGACTGAATGTTTAAGGAAGTTTCTTTGGAATTTGTAGATCCTTTCCTATTACCTTGGACTCACTTTAAGAATGTAATTTTGCAGGAAGTTTCAGAAATTCTATTTCTATCATTATGTCCATGATTTCTCCCACATATCTCTCTGAGCAAGAGGAAGAAGGTAAAATTGAGATAAATTCATATTGGAATTTGAGTTAATAAACCTGTTAACATTCAGTCTGATTTCTTGGAAGAAACCATAAAGAGACATTTCTAAAACTGAAATTCAAATATAATAGCATGAGACATAAAAGCATCTACAGGTACTTATTCTCTTTATCTTAGTTTTGCCATTTATAAAATGGGGATAGTACAAGTACCTCACACGTAGGATGACCATGCATCCTAGTTTGCCTGAGTTAGTCCCAGTAGAATTATTAACGGTACCTCCTTTCATGCCCCAAAATGTTCCCATTTGAATGATAAGCCCTGTGGGACTGTTGTGCCGATTGACGTCAGAGCAGGCCTGGAGCACCTAAGTGTCTCATACGTGGTAGACAGTATTACATACCCTCATCTTTATCACTCCATTCATTTTTGCAACCCCTGCAGGCTCAGAACGGCAAATCACTTCCTGCCTTGACAGAAAGTATGAAAGAAGACTCAAAAACAGATGGCTACTGCCCCAGGCTCATGCAGAGGTTTGTTCTGCAGGCTCGTGCTGTGCTTCAGATGGCCTGACATACTGGGCTTCTGGCTCCAGCCTTGTCACAGGCGGACATCCACCTTGCTATCTCCATACCCAATTTCTATGTCATCAGCATGCCACAGTACACAGCCAGAAAGGCAGAACCAAACCAAAATAGATACTGACCTTTTGAGGTGTCTTTTCTGGTCTGTACATTAATAAAGAACAGCATCGGTTTGCTCAGTATAGTTTCCCTGTAGTCTTTATAATCGCAGTAGTTGGTCAGTTCCACATATCTATGAAAAAAGCAGAGATAAATGCAAATGTAACATACCCACCCATCTAAGTCAGGAAGAGGATGTCTGGACATCCATAGTCTCTTTGAGAGAGGTCCCCTAACATGTGTCCTTGCGGAGGCAACCACATTTTTATCATACAAATAAAGCTCTCTCACTCTCTTTGTCAGCTGAGATCAATGTGCAACCCAAAAGTGGCCATGGTCCTAGGGTAGCCTGACACCAACACTTGGCTCTCAGGTGATGACCAGTGCCATCTACCTTCTGGGCTATAAGAGCTCATTTAAAGCCACCAGAGCTCTATATCTGTCTGGATTGAAAACAAATTACATTCAGTAAGTGGAGTTACCCGGGTCTTCCCCCGTGCAGTCATCCCGTATTACTAGTGGACCTACAATTTTCCTTTCCTTCTCTCTCATCCACTATGTCAGTTTTCTCTTCCTACTCTACACATCATCTAAGCTGTCTTTCTAGGTCTCTACCTGCAATGTTGATAAAAAGGCAGATCCAAGTGTAAATTAGCTTCCTTCAAAGAGATGGCTAATTTTCTGACCAAACCCAAGCTCAGGTGCCACGTGGACGTACGCAGTCTGAATGGCAGCCAGCCCAGCAGGCTGGAGGACACACTCTCACAGTCCTGCAGAGCTGCTTCCACTGACCGCCCAGCTGTGGGACGTGTGCTCCGAGCGAATGGCTAGCCTGGCAACGATGTGGCTGCTTTTGCTACACGGCAGCGTGTCTGCTTCTCACACCTAGTCGAAGTTAAAGACAGCTCCAGTGTTTCTCTGTGACCTGTTTTCCTTTATTGTCTGACAGAAAATCACAGCCGCGCAGAGCTCCCAGCAGCAGGGACCTGTGGCCCCACAGTCCTCATAGCCCCCCTCCCTTCGCCCATGTCCCACAACCTCCTTAGAGGGGCCAGCACACAGGACCCTGACCCAGGCATGGGTCAAGAGCACGTGGGAGAATATCTACCCCCGAGTCAGGAAAACACAGCTTCTACTTGTCTGTCTCCCAGCTTGGTTTCTTAGAAATATTTGTCATCTTTTCTCTGGGCATGTCAGACCTGATTTTGAGAGCTTTTAAAACCTGACCCCTGATGGAGCCTCTAAAATGCGTCCTGCCTTCTGAACTGACCAGGCTTTTAATGAAGTTTCCACCTCTCAACCCGTGGGCACTGGTGGTGGTCAGGTGGCGGTGGTGGGGGCACAGGGAGGAAAGGGGGTGAGGGTGTTGATGTTCAGGGGTGGTAGTGAGGAGGGCAGGAGTGGGGGAGGAGAGGGTGGGACTGGAGAAAGGTGGGGGAAGTGGGGAGTATTAAGGGGATGGACTGGGGATTTAGTTCGGCACTTTCTCCCACTTTCTCCGTCCCTCCCCTGCCCTCGCTCTCACCAGGTGGACCGGTGTGGAGGGAGAATGGGATGAGGTGGGGCGCCTGAAGGGGAGAAACACTTGTGCTCTGTATCAGCAGAGAGAATTTTTCTGTTCTTAGTTGCGATTGACCAACTGCCGAAAGATAATGGAAAAAGGAGGCAAAGGAGACGGGGAAAGGGGGCACCACTGCTGGGTTCACTCGCTCTCACTCATTCACTGAACGACATTCCTTTAGTACCTAAGATATGCTGGACACTGGTAGGCATCCACCTGGGCCTTATCACATCTGAGGAGCTCAGGGCCTAGGGAGTGAGGCTGGGGAAGGGGGTGCAGTACAGGGGTTCCCCGGGCTCTCCTGTCCCCTCTGCCAACCATCTGTTCAGCTGCCAAGGGCATGGCCTGGGAAGGGGAGGGGTCGGTGAGGCCTGTGGTTGCAGGAGGGGCGAGGAGAGAGATGCAGAGGGGAAAGGGGGAAGAAAACTCATAGCAATAGAAGAAAAGGGCAACACTTAGTGGACTAAACATCAAAAAGATAATTCGAAAAGTCAGGGCAGGAGTCAGGTGCCACATGTGAGTCATCCAACGTGGATTTGCCCAGTCTCCCTGCCTCCTTATCACAAGTTAATTACAAGTCACTTAAGCATGTAATAATATTTTCCTCAAAGCGACTCCTCTACTCTCTTACCAGCCATGATCTGACTGTCATTCTCCAGCGTAGCCAGAAAATCTGCAGTTTTCATTAGCACTCTGATGACGCAAATGACAACACTTGCCTCCGCCTATACAATCGATCAACATCCGATTCAAGGTGTCATCGGCAAGAAAAAGATAAAAATTTGAACTGAGAAATGATCACTGGGTGTGAAAATAACGGCTTGCTCCAGAATTCAGTGGAAGGCTTTGGGGACACTATGGCTCACAGTGCCGTATTCAAGTGCTCAGAGAAGGGGGCTGGCAGGGGCTTCGGGGTAGCCACATACTGACTTTAATAGTTAATGGGCCACCTACATGACTCACCCTTTTAGAGTCCGAATTTGATAAGATCCCCCGAATAATATAGCTATGCTCAACATAATTTAATCTTCCTTTGACGATTTAGAGGCACTTTTAGGATCTTAACAGGCCTGTTAACGTCATGGCAGAGCATGGCAGTTATCCCTGTACCTCAAAGGCATGGAAATGCTGCTTATATGAGAGCTGATAATAGAACTCACAGACAAGAGATGGTAGCAAGATCCTCACTTACTGAACCGGGTAACAAGAAATACCTCAAGTCATCTATTTCCAGCCTCCCAGTTGTGGTCCAGTCGTTGAACACCTCTAAATTCCAGAAATAAAGAAATATGAGCATTCCTTTGGAACCGTTATAAAATCTGGATATGTAAGCCACCAAAATGCAGAATGATTGAGAACCGAGGTAAGTCTCACAGATATTTAATAGACATACAATCACTTGTTTTATTTTAGGAGGAGCCATACTAGACTGTATTAGGGACTAGTAGTTTCATCTTTAATTATGCACATGTCTGAATTACGAATGCAAATATCACTCCTGTGTACTGTGTACTTATTGTATTTGCTGATGTTATCATTAGGGAGCAAAAGCAAACAGCTGAAGATGTCTCCTTTAAACTCTCATTTCTTTGTTGCTTTTACCCTGGCCCCAAAATGCTTCTAGCCTGGAACTTTTTACACCTGGTTCCAATCCAAAGACTGAAAGGCAGAACACTGGGATGGGGAGCACAGTGATTCAAAATGAAAAGATCTAATTCATGCCCTAACTGCCTGACTGTATGGACTCAGTCCCACAGCCACAACCCACTGTGACCTTGAGTGAGTTACTTAACTGGCCTGAACCTGTGCTTTCATCTGTAAAGGGATACCACAGTACTGCCTTCTATCTCACAAGTCAATGCAGTGCAAGTAGTGTTGACATATGTACTTGGGCCCATAGGAGATGCTCAACAAACATGATCAGTATCTGTATTCTTGGCCAACTCTGCTGGCCACAGGGTGAATGAAGTTCTGTAAGCACCTGACATCCAACTAGGGCTGGATTCATTTGAGTTACCAGGAAAGGAGGACAATCTGAGTATCTGAAAAATAAATGCGGAAGACTTTCTCCTTCCTTGCTCCAATTTCTGTCCTCATCTTTTCCATTTGGAAGGCTAAAGAGAACAGTTTAATGAGCAATATCTGAAAGGTGGGACCAGGAAAACACACTGTACTTTTGCTTCTAGCAAATCAAGACTGGCTGAAAGATGACGCGCCTTCTAAGGCACTTCCATTTTTCTGGAGCCCCTTCAGGTTTCATATCACCTGTAGCATGATCTGAAAAGCTGCTCCAAATTTCCCTTGGCTCTGACAATTTCCTGATCAAAGATGAATGGGAATTCAAACCTATAGCTTCCATCTGAGGGGGTCTGTGTTCATTTACAAAAAAATATGGAGAGAGGAGCAGAGAAAAAGAGAAACACATGTTGGAACAGTCCTTGTGTAGAAGACCCAGAAATTGCTTGAGAGTTCATAATCCTTTGCTGTTACACTAGCAAAAGCTTGCAGGTACCTTCTGCCCTTGGGAGCACGCAGGATGGCCTTCCTGTGTTTCTAGTGTTAACGTGATAGCTTTATACAAAGCCTCACCTAAATTCTCACTTCTCTTTCACTTCTCCCAGTCTTCTTCTGTCCTACTATAGTGAAATTAAGCAAAAAAATTTTAGATTAATCATTATATTGTCTGTGCTGTGAATCAAGGATACACACAGCCATTCATTCATTCATCAACTATTGATGCACAGTGCAGTGAAACATTGTGATAGTGCACAGAATGATTCATTCATTCATTCATGCAATAAACATTTGCTAAGAACCAATGATGTGCTGGGCACTAGGGACACATGAGAAAGAAAATAGTTCTGCTTCTAAGAAGCATATAGTCCACTAAGGAGAGAGATAAGAAGATGCACCATTTCAATATGAAATGATAAATGTCTAAGACCTTGTTGTTTAAAGTGTGGTGCTTGGACCAGCAGCACTGGCATCACATGGGAGCCTGTGAAACTGCAGATTCCCAGGCCTCTCTCCAGGTTTATTCAATTGGAACGTACATCCACACAATCCCCAGGAAACCTGCATGCTTACTTAAAGTTTGGGAAACACTGGTAGAAGACAAGGTCCCTCCCACTCAGAGGCTTACAAACTAATCATTCAAACACACAAATGCTGGAGGAATGCACAGTTCTCTGCATTCAGTGTTTACTCTTCATGGGGTTATGTCCCAGTAACTTAAATAAAAAGGAGCAGCCCAGCCAGTGTTGCTCAGTGAGTGTCGACCCAGGAACTAAGAGTCACAGTTTGATTCCCAGTCAGGGGACATGCCGGGGTTGCAGGCTCGATCCCCAGTAGGGGGCATGCAGGACGCCGCCGATCAATGACTTTCTCATCATTACTGTTTCTATCTCCCTCCCTCTCCTTTTCTCTCTCTGAAATCAATAAAAGCACATAAAAAAATAAAAGAAGAGGCAAAGTGGGAGAGTCCTGGGGTTTGAACCGTTTACTGAGCTGAGACAGGCACTAAGAGAGTGATCCTTCTGTCAGGCTCAACATTCCACCGATGGATGGGCAAAGCAGCAGAAAGGTGGGGGCCCCAGGAGGAGACACAGCTTAGCCACGGCTTGGGGACAATAGGGTGGCTGCATCCAGGCATCTAGTAGGCATGCGGCAAGCACCAGGCAAGCTGAAAGCAAGAACTAGAGCAGAGTGTCTGGAAGTCCAGAGCAAGTCTCCCGAGGAAGGAAGGCAGGAGAGAAGGCAGCAAAGACTCCTGGCTTTTCAGTCATCAGATCTGTATTTGATTTGTCTCTGTGACTTTTAACCTTGACAAGATCCATATCCTTACCTATAAAATCTAGCCAACAAAAAATAGATTGTGAAGTGGCTAAAGGATTAAATAATGTGTGTGAAGCACCTGGCTTTGGGGGCTGCTTAATAATAATATAAAAGCTAATGTTTATCAAGTAATCAATATGTGCCAATAATTATTTAAAAATTTTATGAATTTTCATTCTGAACAGCAACCCTATAAGGGTGATTTTACAGCTGAGGAAACTGAGTCACTGAGATGAAGCAGCTTTCCCGAGTCACTGAGGCAGTTAACTGCGGAACTCGGATTCCAACCCAGGCCGTCTTCCTGGCCCTCCTGCCCACCCACACGTCCTCGAGGCTGACTCTCGTAAAAATCACGGCTCAACACATAATGAAAATTGCTCCATCAGTAGCACTCTCTGGCCTGTGAAGGGGTTGCTGATCTGGGCAGGCCACCAAATCCAAGACTCAAACATGAGAACCAAGGCCGAAGACTAGTCAAGAGAGCAAGACAGGAGCCCGCTGAGAGTGGCGGCAGCAAGGCTGACTGTGCTGCCACACCTGCTGGCCTCAGTGGGCCTGGGCGGGCAGGCAGAGCCCAAGCACTTCCACTGCGCGGGGGCTGAGGCTTCCCCAGTACAAATATAACTATGTTCCAGCCCTACCTCGGATCCTCACTTTACCTCTGGGAGCCTCCTCCTCCAAGCCCCTGCACTCTCTGCTCCTGGCAGCTGCCCTCCGGGCGAGTGTGGCTGTTACCATCTAACAGCCTGTTGGACACGGGCAGGAGCAGATCGCCTCTCTGCTTTTAGTGGCTTCTTTACAACCACTGGACTTACTTTTGCTTTTAGGTTGATTATACAAGATGATTACTGGCTGATGTAATTTCAGTCATATTTTTGTAGATTCAGGAAACTTAGAAGAAAGCTGCTGCTGTCTACAGTAATGTGGAATGATTTCAGGTTCAGGGCAGTGTGCTGAACACACGGGTTCGTAGTTAGAGGCTGTATAGGAGCCTTGAATCCATGCTTCCCTGCATCCTACTTAGGTGCAGTACTTGACCTCTCCCAATCTTAATTTCTCATCTGCACAAGGGGGCCACAATAGTGCCAACTTCATAAACTTTCATGAAATAATAGCTGTGAAACACTCTGCCCCATTCCTGGTACTCAAGCAAACATTGGTGGCCCCTGTTATTGACAGACTTATTTTTATTACCCAAGCAGCCTCTTTCATGCTAGGGGAACACTGAAAAGCAGGGATTAAAGCTTCTCTCTGCCCAGCGTTTGCCACTACACCTCACTCAGAGGCTGCATTACAGGAAAAAGGGGTGTGTGTGATCGTTAATGGTGATTTACATCTGGTATCTTGAGCAGGCTTTGTTTATAACACCAATGGAAATCCAGAGCTTGAAGGAAAAAATAATAGTAAAGATCATGCCATAAAGTAGGACAAATGTTTTTAAAGCAGGCTCTCAGGAGCTTTTAAGCCCTGGGGGCTATCAGAAAACCTTCCAACCACCCTAGGTTGGGCAGTTATTTCTATAATATAATTCTGTAGTAACATAGAATTCTAGAATACAACCAGAGTAAGTTGAGCTAGTGAACTAAGGAATCAGGTCAGGGTTAGTAGCTCTGAACCTTTCGCATTCCTTGGGAAAGGACCTTGTGAAAGCCACAGTGCACACTTCTGAGGCCCTGGAAAAAAATCTTGCTTACACTATGGGCGTATCCCATACCAAAAATATCTGTGCAATGAAAAAAAGTACTTAGCAGAGCAAGGAATCTTAATTTGAATCCAACTACCTCATAAACTACCTGAATGGTCAACAACATTGGGGTGTCTCTCTGTTTCTGGGGAGGTGTACATATGATTGATTTCCCAAAGCTCTATAGCCCAAAGTGATTAAGAATGATCACTTTGCTTTCTTGCCCCCCACCCCCACCCCCAGCCACCTTCTCGACCGCTCTTGGGCGGGGGCCATCACACCTAAGGCAGGAATATAGTGGCTACAAAGATGAAAAAAATCACTGGAGCCATCAGCTCTAGGCCCCAACTCATTATGAAAAGTGTAAAGTACATGCGGGGGTACAGCCAACTCTGAAGATGACAGACAAGGCAAAGAGAAACTGGTCATCCTCTCCAACTGCTCTACCTTGGGAAAATCCGAAATAGAGTACTACTCCATGTTGGCCGAAACTGGTGTCTGGCAGTACCCTGGAAATAACATTGACCTGGGTACAGCCTGCTAGAAACACTAGCATACGCACACTGGTTGGTATACCCAGGTGATTGTGTGATCTTTAGCAGTCTGCCAGGACAGACTGGTAAAGAGCAAATAGTGTAAAATGTTTCTTTAGTAAAACTGGTCAAAGCTTATTGAAGGAAGAGGAGAAAGAAGAAGGGGAGGGCAGGGGAGGGGAGAGGAGGGGATAAATCACTGCTTTGGAGCAATATTTTGAGAGAGGAAATGTATGCTAGCCCCAAGGCCAAAGACAACTGGGTAAATTTGGCAGAGCTGAGCAGCAGCAGCTTTGGAAGTCTGAATTCTCACTATGTATCCACTTCATAATCCATGAGGGCAAACCTATCACTGCTGCCTATAACTCAGTCTTCCCTTTCTTTCTGGAAGGCTCTCTCCATTCATGTCAGGTTCCCTCCCAGTCATCTTGCAGGACTACACACCCAGTTACAAAAGTCTACTTCCCCTGCCATAGGCTGTCCAGGAGAGGAAGACAGATGGTCCCTTCCATCACCGGAATTATTCTCAGGTGCTCCTTGCTCTTTCTCATGGTACAAAAACCCTCACACAATTGTTTGTAAGAAGAAAATCTTACACCCTGGTCTGTGTTGCCTGGTTATTATTCATTCTGGACTCTTAACTACCAGGGTTCCACTGCTGTTTAATTTTCTTTCAGGTAGGAGACATTTAAAGAGAGAGTTTAATAACCAGACTTGAAAAGTATTTAAAATTTTGCAGCACTGATTGCTAAGACTGGGAGAGCTGGCTCTGTCAAAAGCCTAACCCAATTAATTTGGGGCATTTTTATTATTTTTTGTAATTCTCAAATACAATACTTAACCTTTTCTAAAATCTCTGCAAATATGATTTCTAATTCAGTTCCTCCCAAGGCCCTGATTATGGGTCGGATTTTTCAATTCACCAAGAAAGGGAGAAATTCTTGTCGGGGAGTGGTTTTTCAAGCATTCAAAGCCCTCATTCTCTTTATGTGGAAAGCAAGGTTTTCCCAGCAGCTTGAAGAAGGTATTTCAAATGCCATTTTATTTGCTTGTCCCTCTTGGCTCCATCTCACCCACAGGGTGGCACAGTGCTGCTCTTTCCCAGTAGCAAAGGCTTTGTAACAGCCGGCGGGGGTAGTCATCTATGAATCAAGCTCTGGACTGCACTTGTCCGCTTCCTGGCAGTCAGTTCTCACACAAATATGGTGCAAGCACACTGGCACACAGCACTTATTCTGCCCACACAACCGCCCAGAGGACCCTGCTTAGACTTCATGGGACTCTGTTCCTTCTCAGCTCTGGTTTGTTTATTTATTCATTTATTTGAAACACTAAAAGATGGGGCACTTCGCACTTTTACACGATTCTCCACTAGATCTCGCTGGATAACGCTCGTAGTGCACAAAATTGAGCATTCCCTCCCCCCTCTCCCCAGTCTAAAGCCAGGATGTGTCTCTTCTCTGTAAACACCCCGAAGGGTGTGCCCCCAGTTTGAGCTCAACTGACCCAGTTAAGGACCAGAAAGGGAAAATCACTGGCCTGTGACGCACTCCCCACCCTCTGCTCCCCGGCGCCTGCCCCAGCTCCCGAGGGCAGCTTTTGGCACAGCTGCAAATGTCGG